TTATTGATTTAGGGTCAAAGATTTTCAGTAACGTTATTTGATAAAAGTTGCTAATGAATTTTTGAAGCAACGGATTTAAAAGGGTGTTGCCGTAAGAAACCTTATCGATACCAAATATCTTCTTTATTTGAAACTGTTTTGTGCTAAATACTTAGTAGAGATATTACTTTACATTATTTGTAAGTGGCAAATATGGAATTTTTAAAAGATGTTTTGATACATTTTTGAAGCAAAATTTTATAAAGGTTTTGTAAACTGTATTTTTTGTATTTTTGTAAAGTAACAGAAAAGAAACATGTTCACGATTTGGATAGAGAAACTGAAATATATGTATCTAGAATTCAATCCTTTATTAATAGTACAAAAGCTTTCTTTTAGAAACCTAAACTGTAAACATTCGTCTTAAAGCCAACCCGTTATAAAAGTTTCTTTAGCTTTTCTTATTCTTTTTAGTCTTTTTGGCCTGCAAAACATTTTGACTTCATAATCACTTCATAATTTCCCAAATCTTAGCATAACGAGGTGCATCCAATAGTATTAATAGTAATGAGATTAGGATATTGTGAAGAGCACGAAATGTATTCAGATTCTCTTTCGTGCTCTTCAAATCTCAGTGTCATTAGCTTATGGCATAAATTAGTGCATTTTCATTCTAATACATAGCACCTACTTTGAAATACAGTGTTTGGTCGGTTAGGTGGCGACAATGCCATTCAAAGCAGTCATGTTTCCCAGAAACTTCGACGACAGTGTGACCGAACTATCAACAATCCATCTGCATATTTCACTCGTGTATGAAAGAGACCTGTGAAAGCTTTCTCTATAAACAAATTATCCCTATAATAGGACAGAGAGAGAAGGTACATTCATCGGTAAATATTTTATTATTTTATTTACTGTCATGTTTTAAGCACTTGATATATTGAAACCGCTCATTAGATAAGCGCAGATTATAAAATATGTATTTTATTGCAGCTACCCGACTTTAAATATTAGTTATGTGCAAATTTTGTAAGTATACGTGATTACGAAAGAATGCTGAGCACTATCGTAATCTTAAATGATGTTATGACTTTTGGAAGGATTTCTTTTTAACGATCTAATACGCTTTCCAGATTACTTTCAATATATTCTGCAGGTATTCCGCTTGAAAGAAATGTTTATCTTTTGTAGCTTATAAAGACATGATTTTGGATACTGTGATCCTTTATACATGCTCCTTTATGAAGATCTCTTATGTTGGTAACAGATACACCAAATGGACAGGCAACCAGGTAATTTGCCTCTGCATTAAACCCCGAAATATCTCACAATAATGTAGTTTAGTATCTGTATTTGATGTATGTAATATTTCTAAAGAGTCAAACTTCACACTTTGCGACTGCTAATAAAATTCGAAAGCATTCAGGAATGCAGCCAGAATACCATATGCTGGCGTGAAATTTTGAATTTACATTTGTCAATTACTTCGGTTTCATTGTCAAAACGCCATTTCTTCACCTATTCGTTTATTAATCATCTTTATGATAAAGGATTTCTGTATTACACTTATTAGTTCTAAGATGATTGCTTTTTTAGAGTAAGAAATCTTGAATAAAATTAGGCATCGCACAAATATATTTTTAATGAAAGAAGGTAGCTTTGACAGAAATATTTTAATTATTTCATGCTCAAGATTTATACTTCTATTCTAACTTTTGCTCTTTAAAAATCGATTGTAAAATTTATAGAGTTTTCCTAAATAATTAAATTGTAGCAGAAAGTAAGTGTTAATAATGGGCTCACTAATCACAGGAAACTGTCTGAGATTGCAGGAAACAGCGACTTATCAAAATAAGGAAATTGTTTATTGTTTCTTTCTGTGCGGACTGCTAGGCTTTTGAAGCTGGGAAACACAAAACTCCAAAGTGCGCTCACAGAGATTCAAACCATAGATCCTCCAGTCGTTAGCTGGAGATAATAACTGCTTACACCAAGCCAGCACTTGCAGTATTTGTCTTACAACAACTGTAATACTATCTGCCTACTATAATTAAGTGCTTTGATGATCAAATGCATTATCTGAATTCAGCTGAGGGAAATATGCATTTCGAGAGATTAATTGCATGTAAATATTTCTCATTATTAAACGTTTGCCTTCGCTTCGCGCATTTTACCCTTCAGGAAAGAAACTACATTAATTGCCAATGCAGCTTACTTCTTTTAATACAGGCCTACGGGCTGCATATGGCTCGTCACTGGTTTTTCTGTAGCCCTCAGTTCAGCCGAAAAAAGTAATAAAAAGTAGGATTATTGCAAATATTAAAAATTAGAATATTTTAATAATTCGAATTTCACCTAATATCGAGGTGATCTGCGGTACACTGCGGGAAAAAAGATATATTTAATTTTGTAAAATTTGGAGCGAAATTTACGGAGAAATTCAAAAATTTATGTTGGCGCAATTTTTTCAGTTTTCGCCAAGAATAATTCACTCGGCGAACTTCTTAATATATGGCAACCAATTTTCCTTTCGTTTCCATTATGCCGGAATGGGGAAAAAGGCATTTCGTTTCTACCTTTTTACATTGTGCATGAGAGGAAAAAAAATCGTGAATAATTTTAGCAGTGTCTAAACCACAGTTGATGTTTTATGGCTTTCAACAAATATGCCAAATTTCAAAACGTGCCAACATATAAATTCACGTATATCTTCAGAAATTTTGAATTAAAGAACTGTAACTTTTTGCAGATATGCTTAAAAATACGTCTACTTTAAGATGATGGTAAAATTTTATAGATTATAATTCAAAGTGTTTTGAAAAATTTATAAAAATTATTTCAAAATACAAATTTTAAAAATAAATCATAAAAAATGGGTGAATTTTATTTGGAATAAACCTGAATTTCAGAATGTGAAAGGAAGAATCAAATAAATGTAATAAAAAAGAGAGATTAATAAATATATACCAAACTAAATTAACATTGAGGAGCTAAAAGTTTGAGAGCTCCATTTTTATAAGCTACTCGTGCGACTTTTACAAAACTTTGTTGTTTGGCGTAATTTGAGTCGTAGAATGGAAATGTGGTAAACAATTGGTACGTTATTTCCGAAAAACTCCGATTTTCTGTCAAAATACCTATATTAGAACAATGCTATACATAAATCTAATATATATCCTAAGACGCTTTCGAGACATGAAAATCACAAGTTGAATTTCGTCAATCGGCCCAGTAGAACAGGAGATATAGAACTGTCCCTTTTTTTCCCCCGCAGTGTACAACTTATGGTGTACCCTTAGGACTGTCTGCCTACGAAAATATTTTTTAACTACATTAAGTTTTTCTTTCTACTTGTACCAACCCCATTTGCAAGTGGAATTAATATAAATTCAGTGCAACTTTAAAGCAAACAAATACTTACTTGTGCCTATGTCAGAAAGCTATAAATGTGCCCCGCAGTTTTGCTTCTTCTGTCATTTTCATGTTCAATAATGTATATCAATGCGAATAACTTTTTTCGCGTATAAAAAGAAGCAAATCCCCAGCAAAATTCATGCTAAGAGATATACATTTGACGTCCGACTGAAAATTTCCTGTGCAAATAATATATCCCCAGACATCAGAAAGCTAGTCGCAGAAAAAATGCACTAGGTGAAATAACAGGTATCTCTAATGTCGTTGTATCTTCCTTGTGTATTTTTAATAACTATATCAGGAAAGATTTCATGTATTTACTAGCTTTTTAAATACATGAATAAGTACAAAAACGGCCTTTTTCTTTTCCTTGCTGCCCCGCACTATTACATACTGATGACTATTTGGCTCACTTAAGTATTGAGTTTGATTGAAGAGTTGAGCACAAAACAACTTCTTGCTTTTCGTCACAAAACTGAAGCATATAAAAACGCAAGGAAAAATCAGGGCTTTTGGTCATTGTTGGCTGCAGCGTAGGAGGTATGACATACAACCTTTCTTTAGCAAAGACAGATTATGTATTTAAAAAAATAGTATTTTAGAATAAATTTAAGGTGCTTGAACACATTTATGAATTTCAAAATAGACACATTATTTTAAGAGTGGCCAATCATTTTGCTTCCTGTTTACATAAATTTGATGCTTTATAGGTATTGAGTTTTAATATCTATAAAGCATATCATGTAACTTCATATCTGAACCTTAAAAGTAAAGCATCATCATACACGAGTTAAAACAGAACTAAACTGCCGTACTGCTAACCATACCTAATTTAATCATCAAATGCCAGAACAGTAACGCCGAGATGAGTTACAGGAATCAAATTATTTTGTTGTTTTTTGATGTAAAATTCGACTACAGAGGACCACTCGAAAAATCTGCTTTTTAGTATTTTCATTCAAAACATTACTAAAAGAGAAGTTTAACAATAACGTTCATAACAAATACGAATTACTTTAAGAATTTTAGGATTATTTACTCTCAACTAGTAAGTATTTAATAACAAAGTAAATAAACAGCGACATTATTATTCGCTTAAGAAAATATACCTTAAGCGACTGTGATGTAGTATTAGAACTCGTTTTGCTTTTATTACTAATCATTAAATTCTTTAATGATTAGTAACTATGCTCATGTTATGACACATAATACTAGTCACATTTTTAGAAAACTGAAAAATTTGTAGTTTATGTCTTAACAAGTGTTTATATGAAATTTTATATGTTAGGCTGGAGTATATAAAAATGCAACTAGTCTTCTGTTTTTTTTTTTTTTTTTTTTTTTTTTCCCCATCCGTATATATATATATATTGTTTAGCTTGGAAGTATGAAATTTTGATGATTAATCTACTTTGAAAATAAATATTACTTTAATCTTTCCTTTCCTGACTAGGTTCTAGTAACCATATTTTGTTCATAATTATTTTTGATTATTTTTTAATTGTCTTTAAGAGATTACTAAATGTATTCGAAAAGTATTATGAAACATAATGATATGTTTTAAGCCAAATTACTTTTATTAATGGACCAGGAACCTTTACACAAGCATATATTTTTGCAATCACAGTTCATTCCAATATAGCTTCTGATGACTTATTACGTTAATTTCATTTCAGAACTTTGCAAAACGTCTGGCTAACATCTCTTTATTTTAAAGATCTTTCTTGGAAGCCAGGAAGCATGCAAACCTGACCAGTCTGTATGTGTCCTTTAAGTCCCTGTAGACTAATACTGTGCATGTCTTGTAAGTGCTCTGAAAAAAACAAGAAATATAAGAATCAAATTATTTTTGATTGAGTGTAAACTTTGATTACCTTTATCCTGATAATTAAATTGAATTCTAGGTTTGATATATTGCATGATGACCAGAAACGTACGATTTCTTTGAATTACTTCGAACATTTCAGAAACATTGCATTAAAGAATGTCAGGTTAAGTAAAAGGTTGTTAAACCGATAGATTTTACCTACTTCAGATGCATGGGGAGTATGAATTTCTTTGCCTTTTGATTAAAATATTCACCAAAAGTTTCTGTAGCAATAAATACAGTTTTCGTTTTTTACTCCTTGTGTAAAGCAAAGGAAATATTCTAATCGCGAAAACTTTCAGGTATCATATTTCAATGAAAATATCCATTTTGTCAGCTCTTGAATATGATTGTTTTTCCGTGACAGTTTACATATGGATACAGCATTTTTTTCCCAAACAGATTCTAATAAGTATTTAAAATAGATTTAAAATTGATTTTTTCATGAGTCTGCACATACCTACATACGTATCTCACATAATTCAAAAACAATAACCCGTTGAACGTTGAAATTTTGTATATGGGACTGCTATAACACCTAGTTGTGCATCTGCCTTTTTTGTTAATTTAATCGGCAGTACCGAATGTGTGTATATATGTATATATTGGATAACTGCGCATTTTATCTTCTCCTTTTCTTCTGTTGCAACAGTATCAGAAATGTAAATGTTCTTGAGTAGGCACGATTAGAGTGTCAAGTAAATTGCGGCTGCAAATGTCAATTGAAATAAAGCTGAATACTTAATCTTACTCATTAGTATGGATCTACGTTGTACGTCAACAGCATTACTACGTCTTTTACATTATATATATATTATATATATATATATTATATATATAATTATTAAAAGAAAAAGTCGGAGCTTAAATGATTGTATAAAATTTAATCCCTATGAAGGCCCGAACAATTTTTTTCTCACTTAAAGTCTTAACCCAAAAGATAACAAGTAAAATTAAACTTCAAATACGTATACAATACTGAAGATAATACAAAATAATACAAAAATTAATAATAAACAAAAATATGTATTAATCTCCTTTGTTTAACGCTTCAAACAGAACTTCTCAAAGGAAAAATGTTTTGAAGCCTTAAAAAGTTAATGAGTTTCGAATACATGTTTCCTTCCTCTGAATCATTTGAGACTTCTAAACTAATAGTCTCAAATCTAATTTTCAGTTTAAAACAACATTTAAGTGGCTCTCAAATCTTCAGCCCTATTCCCTGCATGTATTCGCAACCTCAAGACTACAAAAATAAAATGCGAAATCTAAATACAAATTAAAATCGCAGAAAATATTTTAGGCAAAAACCTGAATAAAATGCTAAAAAAGTCTAAAAAAAGGCCAATGTGAGCGTGTACCATACCACCATACCACCCATATTCCATATATATATCTATATATCTATATATATAGATGTATATATATATATATATATATCTGTATATATATATATACACGTATATACATATATACACAAATGGCATATATATGCACAGATGCAAAAAAAATTGTATAACCTGCTACAGATGTACGTTTCTTTAAAAGTATCAGTGTTCATTGAAAATGTGTTGCATATATTGGTCCAATTATAGGAACTTTAAATTTTTGTTTCAAAACATATTAAATTTAGACAAGAAATGAAATAGTCACTGATTATTCGTTACTTCTGTTTTTCATTAATTTACTTTTTTATTTTAACCAAAATTACACATTATCTCTCTTCAATATAGTAACTAAATTCCTTGACGTTTCTCATAGCCATAAAGATATTTCTTTTTTATTAAATAATTTTTATTTAAATTCCTTTGTTTCCCTTCAATTTTCAAATGTCCTTGATTTCTTCTAGATAGTTTTGACTTATTTTCCTATGAATAAATTATACTGCGCGTTTAAATTTCATCCTTAATACTTGCCATATGCTAACCATGATGAAACTGCTTTTTTTAACCGTCGAAACCAGTTTAATGACACTTCATTAATTTTATGCCCAAATTTATCTTTTGTTTCTGTGCTCGTGTGCTTAAAATATTATTCAGGTTTCAATCCCATAAACTGTGCAAATGCCAACTTTTTTCGTAATTATAGCCTTCGCTGTATCAAGCATTTTACGTTTAGTGTTATTATTTGCTGTTGTTAAAGTGTTTAAAAACAGTTATATTAAATCCTAAATCCTTTATCTTTAGAAGGGAATGATTTCGAGGAATAAATACAAGTTTTTCTCTTGGCTAGTTGAAATTCCAGTATAAAGAAACATTAAATAAAACAGCTCTTTGGAAAGAAATAGTTTATGTTCTCTAGAGAACAACTGAAAAGAACGCTCGCAGTTTGATCGGGAAATTCGTGATAATAACATCTGTTTCAGACTTTGAGAGGATTTTTGTTTCCTTCAGTGACTTCAGAAAAACAGTTTGAATCGAAACATTTATTTCTTTGGGACTCTTGCAAATATGAGGCTTAAAATTTAATAATATAATGGAAAGAACCAATCACTGAATAAAACCTTGATGGATAGAAACTAGGTGGTAAAATAGAGTGGACTGCTTTTCTATGTTTATGACAGCTGTTAAATCCTTTATAGTAACCACTATTTGATTTGAAAATACTAATCTCGAATAGAAGTCTTTTAACTGTAATAGAGGCTTCTTAATTGTAAAATTACAATCGATTCTAACTAAAGTATCCATAATTTAAGTTGAATAAGAGGTTAAATGAGGAAATGAACAAATTCTATTCGGGAAACTGATTCGAATTTCTATTGTTTGGAATAACAAATTATAAAACAAAGGGAAGTTTCCTAAGCGAAGAGCTCTTTAGTTACATATAGTACGATCATTAATTTTAAAATTTTGATGATTGGAGGTATATATTAACAAATATTAAAATTTATTATTTTACACAGCTTGGAAACAATTACTTTTCGGGCTATTACTTTTCGGATCTATGAAAATTTGAAAATATAACGCTGATTTTTGTTGTTTGACTTCTAAATTAATATTTGTTCGGCGTGTTATTGTATCTTAATTATGTCTTTAACTTGAAAAATATAAGGTTACTGGTTAAAGGTCGAATATATCTTTATGATAATCAAACAGAAAACACTTACAATAGACTCTTGGAATTCGCAGTCTTTAGCTGCGTTGAATTCAACTTCCTTCTTCTTGCAAGTAGTGAGTCCAATAATTATGTCCAATTTGAAGTTAACACCAGCTACTTCCTAGAAAAGGAAATAATGCATGATGCTTAAATCAATTTTTTACAAGAGAAAAATCGATTTTTACCTAATCATTTTCTCCAATAACAAAGTGAAAATTTCCGTCAAGAATTTAATAAAATTCTCATTTCAGAAGGAAAATCTCCAATATTTTGAAACTTTATTTCATATTTTATAACCGTCACTGAGATATTTTTACATGATCATACTGTATTTTGATTATTTTATGATCATATTACTATATTAAAAATTATTTATGCCAAAATAAAAATTGCATCGATAATATAAATAATAAATACATTTACGTTATCTTTATATTATATAAGCGGCTAAAGTGTGTGTCGCCGATAGTTTATTGTTACCACTCGGAAAAATGAGCGCACAAATTAACGTTTTCGCAGTTTTTAATTAATATCTCAGCCGATTAAAGTCGTACGAAGATGAGGACGGTATCGATGGATTCGGAGAATTTTTTGGAATCCGAGGATATGCGTCTCGAATTTCAACTCGGCGCCGTTCCGTAGATATTCGAGAAAAAAGAGTTTGGCACTTAACCAAATCCCTCTAATAGGGAAAAACCAAGAAAGAAAGTGGAAAATGTAGGGGAAAACGTAGGAAAAAATTAGTTTTTAATTAATATCTGGGCTGATTAAAGTCCCAAGAAGACGCGAATGGTCAAAGATTATGACACTGATGAAAAGATCATAGCTTAATTAAATAATAATAAAGAAAAAACTAAAAGCTAACCTGTAGTTTCATATCAAAGCCGAAAATTAATTTTTTTCGACGAAACAAAAATCTTGAATTCAAGTCAAATGCAAATTGCAAAACTGAACTAGTTTTGCATTACAAGTTAATTAGGTATGATCTCGCTTGATGCTGCGCTGGATACAAGGTAAGAAGAATCATTTTGCTCTCTATTTTTATTAATTTGTTGTGAAATTTCGAGACTATAAAATGTTTTACAACAAACAGAATTGCGAAGGCGGAGCTAAGTGACGTCCATAAATGGGAGGGACTAAAATTGTGACGTCACAATGTATTCTTTATAGATACAAAAATAAGTATAATAAAATATTTATATTTTAAGTTATAATAATGCAGTAAGTGAATTTTACCATTATTAAAACGGTAAACAACGTCGCAGTCTCCCATATTTGTATTTCATACAGATTCAGAATTTTGAAAGATTTTTAAGCTTTAGAATTTATACAAATAAAAAAGATTTTTATTGTTAAATTTACTGCGGCAATTATATCAGAACTAGAAAACCCCGCGGTCACACGAAATGACCGCTTTTCTAGATATTACAAAGTGTAATTAAAATGATTTGTGCAAAGGTGTCTGCTAATTTAAACTGTATTAATTATTGTATGTAAACCGGGTATGTAATTATTGTATGTAAACCCAGGGTAGGAGGCAAGGAAGCCCCTTTGCTTACTGCTCCACAGGGTTTCCCCCTTCTACTTGCTTAATTGTTTAAAGTAGGGGGCAAAGAAGGAAACCACTGGCGGTACATTTCTTAAGAGCCACCGCTAGCTCAATAAATAAAGGTGATTTAAATAATAAAATGTTAATTCACATGTCAAAGATCTCTTTGTACACAACTTTTCTTGTGTTAATCTCTCTATCATTTCTAAGCTTGCCTTGCAGAGGACCATAAATTATTTTTAATTCTACGTTAGTTTACGTAATTTAGAGTTCCTTCACGAGCTCTTGAACAGGAAACATAAAGTTGGCCGTGTCCAAATGAGGGCTCAGGTAAAAAAATGCCAAAACGCTTAAGCGTTTGACCTTGAGACATTTTGATGGTCATAGCGTCTCAACTGAAACGGCAACACTGTGCCGTGGCAACTTCACCCCATTGATTAGTACACTTGCGCAAGAAACCAATAAACTATCGGCGACAAACAAACACTTAAGCCGCATGGTGTGAAGTAACAACATGGGGTGAAGTGACATCATCACTTCCGAAACGGCTGGCTGCCGGGCTTAGCGAAGCACACCGTTGGATTCCGCAGGTCCGCGGCACGCCATTTTGACCATTCGCGTCTTCTTGGAACGTTAATTAGCCGAGATATTAATTAAAAACTAATTTTCCCCTACGTTTTCCCCTACATTTTCCACTTTCTTCATTCTAACATTTTCCACTTCTATTAGAGGGGATTTGGCTACGTTCCAAATTCTTTTTTCTCGAATATCTACGGAACGGCGCCGAGTTGAAATTCGAGACGCGTATTTTCGGATTCCAAAAAATTCTCCGAATCCATCGATACCGTTATCATAATCCATCGATCCATCGATACCGTGTAGTTTCATATCAAAGCCGAAAATTAATTTTTTCGACGAAACAAAAATCTTGAATTCAAGTCAAATGCAAATTGCAAAACTGAACTAGTTTTGCATTACAAGTTAATTAGGTATGATCTCGCTTGATGCTGCGCTGGATACAAGGTAAGAAGAATCATTTTGCTCTCTATTTTTATTAATTTGTTGTGATCTTCGTAAATCTTCGTACGACTTAAATCGTCCGAGATATTAATTAAAAACGGCGGAAACGTGAATTTTCCGAGTGGCAACAATAAACTATTAGCGACACACATTTTAGCCGCTTATATATATAAAGATGTTGCAAATTATTGCGTGTCTTTTAAATAAAATAGTATATACTCCAATTTGTGTTAAATCTATTAATGTAAGGCTTAATAAATTTCAAGACTTTACCCCCCCCTTCGATGATTTTCTTGATGCTGGATTATATTCCGTATAGCTACTAGAAAAATACTAATGTCTTCTTTTGTGAATGATTCATAACGTAAAATAAATCATACACATGATTTTGATTTTTTTGTTTTGTTTTTATATTGACATAAAATTATTTACATTCTTAGTTTAAAAGCATTTAAAGAATAATATCCGATTACAGCCGATTCATAAACTACCAAAAATCGAGTTCATGTTCTAAAAAAATGCTAGTTCTACGGTTTCGTCTGGTTTCTCTCTGTTGCCAATACGCTCAAATCGATAAATATTTCCTTTTTAAAAAAAAAAAATCTTTTACCGGAGTAGTTGACAACAAATTTTAATTCATATTATTGAACATTTTAATTTTATCATTTTTACGAATTACCATGTTGCTACGTAACGACATAATCCCTTAGGTACTAGTAGGTAGACAATCTTCATTATTTTCTAAAAATTTTAAACTTTACATTAATAATAAAAGTATAAAATATTTTTATTGCAGATCAACATCATACGCAGCTTTCATATCACTGTTTCTTAAATTCTTAAATCACGTCATATTCTATAGTCATACTAGAATTCTATACATTCTACAAATAAAAAAAATCTAATTTCTCACAATGAAAGAAAATAAACACTACAAATTTGGAACACTAAGCAATACTTCACACACACACACATATTATCAATGAACTCATATTATCAAGTGCAATTGCGATAGCAAATACTGCGTATTAAAATAAAAAGTATAAATTATTTATAGGGTCAAAATTAACAGTTTTGCTACTATTGAGTAGATCGTCGGATTATCGATATTTTTCGGAAAACATTATCAACATATCAAAAACAAACAATTAAAAATACAACAAAAAAGTTGTCTAAATTATAACTTGCAATTAAAACAACAATGCAAATTTAAAATACACAAACGACACATTAAACATTGCACATAAAATACGTTACAGGTATAACATACAGGGGTTGGACAAAAATATGGAAACACCTTTAAAAAAACATGTTTCTTTGCTTAATATGGTGTAGGAAACCCGTTGGCATCCAAAACAGCTTGCAGTCTTCTCGGAATGGATAAATACAGTTCCTGTATGTTTGCCAAGGGAATATTATACCATTCTTCCTGCAAAACGGTGGCAAGTACAGATAGCGATGTTGGCGGTGGATAACGAGAACGCACTTTCCGTTCCAATGTAGACCACAAAGGTTCTATAATATTCAGGTCTGGTGACTGTGGTGGCCAGGAGAGATGTGACAACTCATCCTCGTGCTCAGAAAACCAGTCCTGGACAATGTGAGCTCTGTGAACAGGGGCTTTGTCGTATTGGAAGACACCATCACCATCGGGGAACAAAGTTTGTACCATGGGATGAACTTGATCGGCCAAAATGTTCACATAAGTCTTGGCAGTCATGTGCCCTGACACAGTTATCATGGGGCTAGCAGACAACCACGATATGGCTGCCCAAACCATAACAGAATCCTCGCCATGTTTCACTCTTGGCAACAAGCGGTCTGTATTATAGGCTTGAGATGGCGTTCTCCAGACGTAAACTCGGCCAGAGGTGGGAAACAATGGGAAAGAAGACTCGTCAGACCATATTACTCGCTTCCACTGCTCTATAGTCCAGGCCTTATGATTTAAACACCACCTTTTCCTGTTACGGGCATTAGCATCACTGATGAGTGGCTTCTCAATTGCAGCACGGCCAGTAATTCCTTGTTTATGAAGCTCCCTTCTTATTGTTTTGGTACTCGCAGGGTTCGGTAACACAACATTCATTTCAGCAGTAACTTTTGCAGTTGTGGTCTTCATATTTTTCGTCACAATTGCCCTTAATGATCGTCTGTCACGATCACTCAGGACACACTTTCGTCCGCGCTGTGATTTAGCAGATGATGTTTTTCCGCTTTTCAAATATGCGGAATAAATCTTCGATACAGTACCTCTTGAAACACTAAACACCTCGGCTACCTTGCTTACGGAAGCACCTACCATACGTGCTCCAACAATTTGCCCACGTTCGAAATCTGTTAACTCTGACAAAATGCAATGACAACCTCACATAACAGTACTCCGACAACAACTGAACTGTTTAGCACATTTACGAAGTTGTTAGGTGGCGTCAGTAGTCAAAAACGCCAGCGCCACCCACATATTTCATTAAAATCAATCTTTCTTTTCAAACATGCATTTCACAAGGTGTTTCCATATTTTTGTCCATCCACTGTATAGTCTCGATTTT